AAGACAAATTTGTTTGTGCTAATTAAATAATCTCATGATAACATGATTATGTGAATATGGGAAATAAGCAATTAACATGTTCATTACATCGTAAAAATAAGATTTTTTTTTTTACGAATTTTCCATTTAGTTATATTTCTTGATAAGTGAAATAGTGCGATTGTTTAGCTTAGTTACCCAAAATTTGCAGGGGTTTGGAAAATAACAACGCAATAAAATGGAACCTTTTGTTAATTACGTTCGTATTTGTACAAACACAAAAAGAAAGAAAGAAATAAATAACCTGTACTTACTTACACACATCACACATTTGGAAACTTACTCACACGTAAAAAAGAAAATTTCCCACAAAGACAAAACTTACAGAAAAAGACATCGTTTCCTATCTTTACCGGAAGTTCGTTCTCCGGCCGGAATTTGCCTTTCTTCCGAGTTACGAGTTCCTAATAATTTTCAAAGAAGAAAGGTTCCTCGCAGGGAAACGAGTCCCAGAATCCATCGATTTTGTGATCATTCACGTCTAGCAATAGATCAGGGAGATCGGAGAAAGCGTCGTCCGCGACCGGAGATGACGTCATCGATGACGTTACCGTGCTCGACGGAGACTCTGGTGCTTTCCACTCTGCGGCGGCTGCTGCGGCGGCGGCTTGAATGTCTTTCGGGTCTGCGCTTGCCGGTCTCGGCAAATGGTAAGCGAGCTCCGGGAAATTAAGGTGAGCAGAGCCGCCTTTGATGGCTAAAGCCGCCACGTCGTGTGCACGCGCCGCCATCTCCGGCGTGGAGAAAGTGCCGAGCCAGATTCTTGATTTCTTTCTGGGCTCTCTGATTTCAGACACCCATTTTCCCCATTGTCTCATCCTGACCCCACGAAAATTCGGATGCTTAGAAACACCCTTTTGCTCATTTTTAGTCTTCGAGTTCTTTCCGGTTCTTTCCCTCGCCGGTGACCGGAGATTGCGTTCCGATCGAGAAAGAGTAGCGTCTTGCATTTAAAGGAATTGAATGTAACGAAAGAGAGAAATTTTGGTGGGAAGAATAAAAAAAATTGTTTTTTTTTTGTATTTTGGGGGTTGAGAGTAGGAATAGTTGTGAGGAGGAGAGTTTGGTTTGCTTCTTCTAATATATACATCCAAATACGAAGCAATTATTCTTCTGTGTATGTTTATATATTTTCATTATATATAAATTAAATATTAAAAGCTACACAAAAAGACTTGACTGCATTAAGATCTTTTTTTTTTCTTTTTCTTTTTGGTTTGTCTTGCAATTTGATTACTTTACTTTATATATATATTGTACAATTATATTCATTTATTAGACCTACATTGGACACTTGTTCGTTTGTAGCACCCTCGTGTACTGTTATCACTTGTTTCTCCTAAATAGTCTCTGACTCTTCGATTAAAATATACGTACTTGAACCAGGCCGAATTAAATTTATATTACCTTATCCTGATTGGATTTGGACTAATTTTATACTATAAAACTAGAAACGGTCTTATAAGAACTAAACCAAAATAGTGAAGTTAAAAATACAATTAATATTAGTTTATGAATATAGAGATGCTACTCTCTAACAACAACAAATATATATATATATATATGTTATGTCAGCAATAAATAGAGACATAAACTTTTAATATTTTGAAGAAATGTACTTTTTTTAGTTTATTACCATATGGGTTTCAAATGAAAAACACATAATTAACTTTGACGAGTGTTACCTACTAAACTGATTCAAGTTTGATACTTGAGCGTATGCCAGTACACATGCAGAATGTTGTCGATAATTGAAACATGTGCAAAACCGAGTCGAAGCTAATCGAAAGCCTTGAAAAATAAACCAAGTTGGTACTTATTTTAGTTTGTTAACACCTCTGCGAATGAACTATATATATACATCAAATGTTTGCGAATGTAACAAAAAAAGAAATTTTGATTTAACTGAATCAAACTAAACCAAAAACTGTAAGACCATTCCAAAGTCACTTTTCTGGCAGTGGTACAAAACTCTCGCACTTTATCATATTATGAGTAGTTTTGAAAATATGAAGCAGAGATACTTCATTTGGTTAAACATGGAATTCTTTTAAGAGAGACTAATTTTGTTTCTGTTTTGGATTGTAGGAGATGTATGAGACTGATGTGTGGCACTTCTAAAACATGTATATAGCTTTTAAATTTTGACATATGCTTTAGCAATCATTTCATTAAAGTAAATATTACATTTCAGAATATATCCACCATTTTTTTATATGTGGATAAAACTCCAGATCTGTTTTTTTTTATTCCTGTGGTTTATGCAGACATTTTCACGCGTACAGTAAATATTAGGAAAAACTTAGATCATCTGGAAGTTGTAGGCCCTTATTTTATATGTCAATCACAAATTTTCTTCTATTTTGCTCCTTTTGCTTTTTTCCCTGAAAATGTTATATTTCGTTTTTCAGATTATGATGCATGTTTGCCTACAAAGGTGACGCACGTTTTTCACTTGGATTAAGTTTGACAAAGACAACGATTAATGCTAACTGTTAATGAATACTCCTATCTTTAAAATCCAGTTACTAATCTTAATTTAGTAGTGCATACTGGCTTATAATACTAAATTACTAATAATAAGATTTAAAGCTAACTCGGTAAAAATTGGATCAGGTAATATTATAGTCGTATTTATCATATATGTTTACAGTACACGTTACTGAATATTTGAATTCTCATCTTTTAATATTTATTAATTATATACTATAAGAATAAGAAGGAAGCCATAACTATTCAGTATTCATTAATTGGTAACTAAATACAGTTTTTTTTGTTTAACCTAGCTCGTTGTTTAATTAGATTAACTAAAACGAATGAAAAAGCATTAATTTGAAAAATGCGTCGTCATCATCAAATCTAGCTTGATTTCATGTATATATTGTCACCGTGAACAGACTTCAATAGTTTGAAGTTCAGATTATTGACGGGAACTTTTTTTTTTTGGACAAAACGATGGATGACACTTTAGTTTGTTTTTTTTTTGTGGTTGTACAAAACGATACCTTTATCTAACCATAAATGAGACAACAGCACTATTAACAACGGTCAGTCAATGTTCGTATGTAGACGTTTGCTTAAATAAACAGTCGACGTATTATGTTTTGCATTTGGACATTTGTGGATATATATGCGAATAATACTTGTAGAAATTTGTTTGATATTTTAGTATTTTAGTTTTGGTGCGTATTTTTAGTAAAGAAACTGAGTAGAAGATTTCTATGGACGACGCACGTACGCAAAACGACATACATACACGTATGTACAAAGTATGATGTTGAAAATGTTTGTATACATTACTATAATTTAGAGGGAGCAAGTTACGTATTAGTTTTATCGTGGGGTCCATTTGACGACTAAGACGAAATCAAATAGAAACAGGTTTTACATATATAGGCAGAGCCAATACAGCCTATATAATTTTTCTTTTAATAATAAAATTAGATTTCTTTCTTAATATTTGTAATTTTTTAAAACACGTGGACTACAAAATTTAATGTATATATAGGCTATATCTATTATTTCTAATATATGTATGGTTTATAAAAAAAATTGAAAAACAGTGATTCTAAACAGCTGCTCAGTCCGCCTGTCTTCTGAACCGGATCTGTATCTAGGCTATCAATAAAATAAAAATAGGTTATAAGAAAATAAAATGTTTTACATATACAAATGAAAAGATTAGCTAAATGGTGATAATTCAGTAGCAAATTTTGGAAATGTCCGAATTTTATTCTGAATTACTAAATTTGTTGTGATTTTTTTTTTTTTTTTCAGATATTACTTGTTTATGTTTCGGCCAATGATATAGTATTTGATCGAAAGATAATCTCATACATAGAGATTATATACATATATATACAAAATACACTAATGTGCATCTAACCTCCTAAAACTTGATGTATGTTTAAATATATATGTAGAAGGTCAAATTAGGTTGATGAGACGTAACTAGTAAGTATATGAAAAACGTAAATTTAATTATTCGGATGTCTTAATTTCTAAACACTTTAACTACTAACCATTAGAAAATGAAAGATAGATCACTTTTGAAATTGTTTTAATTTTCTAAAACAGTTGGTTGATAAATCATTACTACAACCAAAACATTATTTTGAACTATATTTATTCACCTACCAAATTCGGTTATTAAATGCTTAATAAATATAAAGGCCTGGAAATTCTATGTCGGGAAATGATGCTAATTGAAACAAAGCACAAGCCCGAAAACTTCACATGCATGTTTCAGTTTGAGCAAACTTCTTTTAATATTGATGACGAAAACATATTTTTTTTCTTAGGATTTTGTACACGCCAACAATTTAACTTGATGTATTGACCAGTGCAATTAACATACTCCTACAAAATTTCACATCTTCAAAAAGTTAATTAATGCCCCTAAATTTTCTAATTATATTGTAGAAGTTTTGGATCCCATAAAGTTTTAATTACCGAAAAATGTAAAACAATTTCTGGCTACAAACCATTGGTCTATTACTATATATTACAGTTAAAAAGATGTAAAACTAAGAAGTCAATTTAGAATTACTTAAAATATTAAAAAGATTCACCCTTATGAGGAGTTAAAATGATATGTGTTACAAGATAATTTGAAATAACTTGGCAAAAGTAACTCCTTTACAAGTAGGAGTACAATTTTCACGAAAGTAATCAAGAGTATGGTGTCAAATATGATATAACGATATACTTTGAAGTTTGAAGATTACAAACATCAAACATATCAGTATCAAAGTAGAAACGATCAATTTATGAATGTTTTCATTTAATACTAAAAATAGTAATAAAATGGCGTCAAATGACGACAGCATATTAGCTATTACATTGCTGCTACATATAAATAAGGGGAATCGCCAGTTATTAAACCGGCGAATTTATTCAAAGCAATACCGGAACGAGAATTAAGAAGAAAGCATATGGAGAGCATTTTAAAAGCAGACTCTTCAGAGCCTTGCGGTACGAAGTTGCTGCTTGATCAGAGGTCGAATGTATTCATGGTACCCATCAGGAACCACCGAGTCGTTCAATGGATCCTTCCACGCTTCCTCAAAGAGCTTCGGGTACACATTACCGTCGTACCGCCCCAGCACCGAGCCCAAGTAATGGTCAGTGTAATTGAACGCGTCCACAAGCGCAACCGCATTAGGACGGACCTATAACAAGGAACCACAAATGTTTTTAACAACTCAGCTTTTACAGGAACCAGATGTAGAGAGAGAGAGGAGGAACCTGAGAGTATAAGGAACGGAGCTGGTCGTTGGCGAGAGAGGCTTGTTTGGGAGTGATGGAGTTAGTGGAGAGGAAATCTCCGAGGTGTTTGTGAAGGATATAGAGAGCGTAGATGTAACACAGATTATTCAGCTGCTTCTTCACTCCTTTGCCTCCTATGTCTTGCTCTAGCTTCGCAATGAACCTAACCGAGACAAAGTTCAGGAGCCAGACTCAGAAAGAATCAAATAAAATAGTGAAGAAGAAGCTTACTTGGAAACAACGATCAACTGGCAATGAGCAATTGCGGCCTCAACCAGCTCGGCCAAGAGCTCTGAGAATCCTGCAGACCAGAGGAATTTGTGAGACAACTTGGTAAAAGTTTGGTTTTTTGGTTTAGGATCTGACAAATTGCTGTGGAATCATGGAGTTAGAAGAGTACCTTGTTCTTGATTCTCGAACTTGCTGAGATTTTTGACACACGTAACAGCCATTCTCAGAGCCCTTGCTTCAAAAGCTTCCAGTACCGCAGCAGGGTTTAACCAATCCTCAGCTACATTCCCAATGAATGAAAACAACTTCATCATTAACTGGAGAATCATTAATTGTAGCGAGAAGAAGGAATCAAACATATGAACTTGATATACTCACCCTTTTGAACACCAGAACGACATTGTAAAAGATGTTCTGCCCGGGCCATATAAGCAGTTGTGCCAACAGGAGCCTTTCCAGATCCCAGCTGGGCAACTGTCTTCATGAGGAATCTAGCCACCTATATACAAAGTTTTTGAACAGTCGCAAACGGCAAGAGGGCTTTAGAGCCTTTCTTATTATTGGAAAATTTTGGGAAAAACAATGAACCAAAAACTTCAAAAGCAGTTCCAAAAATGTTCTTTGCATTTCAGTTAGGAAAAACAAATTGACCAAAAATGTGAAACTGACAAAAACCTGCAAATAATAATACTGAAGAAAGCACAAAACTCACAGTACGAAAGCATGTTAAAATTAAGAACTCAGCCAAAAGTCCAGAGATCTATAAGCTGAAAAGCCACGTGCTAGCTAGCTGACAGTGCTATTCTAGTAAATGAGACTAGCTCACAGTTGATACAGAAACGTAATAAATACCTGTAATTGCAGCACAACATTGTCTCCTTCGTATGTGCAAGCAGGAACATATACAGCAAACAGCTCGGGGAGCCCACTGCACCACAAGTATCCATGTCCACCACATAACTTACGACATTCTTCAATGCCATCCTGCACCCAACAGTAAGATTAAGCTGACTTTCCAAGTCTAAATACTCCCCCAAATCACGTTAAGGAGAGAACACACTTTCAACCATGTGAGCTGGTTTGATCCATAGAGAAACAAAACCGATCAGCCTAGTCTAGTGAGCATAGAGGATCAGCTCTGGAACATACCGCAGTTGCTGTGGTGGTGAGTGACTTCAACCCTGCAGTGCATGCATGAGCCTCAGGCAATGTTGCGAAATCACTGGCCTGCAGTCTCTCAGTGACGTCCGTGTACAGCCATTTTAGCCACTCCCCAACAAATCGAAATGCATATGCAGATGCCAGCAGAGGAAATAGCCTGTTTTGCTGAGTTTTGTAATCAATCACCTGTAATAACAACATGCAGGAAATTACATTCCCTTATCTAGCCAACATAATAGTCACCAAACCTTAATGAGTAAAAAAAAGCTCTACAAAACCGTGAGCATACAGTATACTTGATTATAAAATGAGTTTGAATGAAGTACCTGTGTCTCACTGCCACCATTCCGTGCGCCAAACTGCCTCCGCACTGCGCTGTACCTTGTAGCTATGCAAACTGCCCTAGACAGTGCATTGGAAGCATCTGCCACAATAGTTTGTCTCACAAACACCATAGTACCATACATCAGCTGTTTTGGAACATCCGATGGAACATATTTTCCTTCCCTTGTAACTTTCGCCACCCTGAAACGTTTTTGGAACAGGAGAACAATCCATTAGCCCGCATTTAAGCACACGCCATTTCCTCTAGAACTATCAGTCCATCGTGAATGCTTATTAAAAGCAGACCAAAAAAGGCTAAGAGAGAGGACCTCATGAGCATTTGATCTCTCGGAATGCGAACTTGATCAAACATAAGAAAACCGTTGTCCATTGAATTGTATGCTCCATTTCCCATCTTCGTTCCGATATCACCAACAATGATATTCGGAAGAGGAGAATGATCTTCCAAGCTACGCAGTTGCACGATGAATCCTGGAAGAGGAAATCTAAGCAATCAATACCACGGCAAGAGAGAATGGAACAAAAACAAAACAAAACAGGGAAATTTTCGCGGTACATACCATGGACACCATAGTCTTTGCCGTCAGTTATGAGACGAGCGTAAACAACAGCATGGGTAGAAACTTTTCCCAAGCCACCAGGCCACCACTATTCAACAATCAAAAGACAGATGAAAACCTTAGACAACTAAAAGACTGTGCATACTCAATCAAAGAACTTCTTGGGTCTACTCACTTTGGATGAAGTCTGAGTTGGACTGTGAACTACAAACTCATCCGTCTTGGGATCAAATGTGGCGGTTGTCTCAAGGCCCTGGACATTTGAGCCATGACCAAGCTCAGTCTGTGCATAACACCCAATAATCTGCATCTTACTCGCCAGCGACAACCACTTCTTCTGCTGCTCCTCCGTGCCCTGCCCCTTAATAGCAGGCACAAACATTCCCTAGAGAAGAGAGACAAAAAAGCACGAACCAAAGAATCAAAAATGCTGTCTCTATAAGAGTCAAAAGAAACTATCTCTATGGATAAACTAGGCGCAGGAAGTTACCCAGTGCAGATCCACAAATGCGGGCTGATCGACAAAGAATCTCAATCTTCCTGCTTCTTCCTCTGTCATGAACAAAAAACAACGAAAGAGCACACAATCAATAGACGCAATGAAACAACACGATAACAAATAGGTGCGTGAGAAGAACAAATCCCATACCAGTGAGACGAAGCTCGATAATCCTCTTCCAAGCATGAGCACATTTTTTCAGCGTGTTCTTAAACAGCTCCTTCCTACCCAACCGAGCTCTATCGCTTTTCTCGAAGACCTAAGGATGATAACGAAATCGAGAAATTCACTAATCCGGAACACAGGAAAGATCCCTAATCCTAATCTCCCGGATACACAACAAACGAAATCAAATAATCAGGAGACCAGATGAAGAACGAATACAAGGAGAGAATTGAGAAAATTCACCGGATCGCTGGCGACGAGGCGGGCAATTCGATCGGAAACCTCAAAAGCGTGGCGGGAACCGGCCCAGACGATCTTCATCTCGTCGACGTCGAACTCCGCCTTGTTTCTCTCATCGGCAAGGTGATCAACTCCCTCCATGATTCGCAAACCAGAATCCAGCAGCTACACACTACAAAACTTTCCCCAGAAAATCCTCAGAGATGATTTCTATGTTCACTCGAGAAGGGGGAAGAAAAAAAGAAACCCAGAAACTAAAAGAAGCGAGCGAAAGAGAGAGCCAAATGCCTCTACCGCTTTTATTGCAGAGTAGTTGAATGAAAAATTAGTTTTGATTTCGTTCGTGGATTAAAAAAGAAAAAGACAAGACAAAATCGAGGAAAAATAGATTTTTTTGGTTTCCGGAAAAAATGAAAAAAATCTGGTTTATCTCTCAGATCCAGTCTGGGCACACTTATTTACACTACAGACATATAGAAACCCACGTGGAAAATGAATAAAATTGGATTCTTTTCCAAATAAGCGTAATTATGTCTTCTTTACTAAAAGACCATAAAATCAGACGTTGTAATAAAATATAATTAGGGGGAGGGGGAAAATGTATGCATGCATCTGAAAAGGGTGAAGAAGATTCAGGATGATACAAAAGAAGATAAAACTATTCAACTGAAGATAAGATAATGTTTTGTTTCCTTATGTTTAAAAGATATGGTCGCATGTCTAGTTGCCTTGTCCGCAGTCCGAATATAAAAGCTTATAAAGAAAGAATTAAATTTCAATTTCCGTTACTATTGTTTACGTCTTATATATTTTTTCTTCCGTTAAAAGTATTAAACTGTAGTACTGTACTACTGTATGTAGTAAAAATTGTTTAAAATTTGTTTCCCATCAAAGTTGGTATACTTTATAGAATGATGATAGGTAGGTCGCTAGTGACATCGGAAACAAAAGTTAGGTACGTAACTATTATCGTTCTGTACTCATTTATATAATTTGAATACGACGACATTAATTTTATTTCATAAATAAATATATTGTCGCTATTAAAGTATGAACCAAAGAAAGTTTCAGCACATTTTTTTAACAACAACAAACAAAAAAGTTCCAAAGGGTTTTAAATCTTTTCGTCTTTGACTAACTGTTTTGAGAAAGACAAGTCAAATGTAAATCTGAAAACATTATTTTTCTTACGACTTTGCTTTATCTACTATTATCGGAACCGTCCTCCGGTTACCGACTTCCGTTTTAAGTTACGGTAAAAATAGCTTACCACAATCTTGTAAACTCTGTACCGATCTCAACAAGTTTCAGACACTAGCTTTTAGACCTTTGGAATTGTGTTTTTTTTCTTCAAACTGGAACAGTGTCTGCGAGCATATATATTACATTACATGTGGCTGAAAGAAGTGTAGACTTGTAGCTTTCTTTGTTATACTCTGTTTCTCGGCCTATGAGGTCTAAAAGAATCATATTTAGAAGAAGAAAAAAGACGTTCTTGATGACATGTAGTTCCCAAATTATAAGTCGTATCCAGGTTAATATAAACATTTTCATGCATACCAAGTTGAATCCTATGGAGCTACTGATCGTTAATATATACATTATTTCATGCATACGAAACTGAATCCTATGTTTTACAAGATTTCGTAACAAAGGCATAATAACCATAGAACTAGGAGGTGGCGTAGGTTAGCCTAAAACGCTCCTTAATATAGTCGCCGGCGAGGATAGGCGGGAATCTGCACCGATATAAATAGGACTCAACTTTTGCTAAGACCAAAAGATTTAACAAATGTGCAATGTGCACCTAACCCTAAATTGGACTGAGTGATCTTAGATACCTTGGGGGACAAGTTTCGCTGCAACAACTCTCCAAGCATTCCACGTTACAGTCTGGATTGGGATCTAGGAAGAACACCACCTACAAAAGATTCCCCGTGTATTTGATTGTTTCTACCCTAAAACTTTATCAATTTGTATAGAAATTAGAAAGAACAAAACAAGTTACCGAGTAACGTTCTTTTCCCACCGGCATTACTCTGTGCAGTGTAGACCTAAATCCATTACAAGAAAACACATCATGTTTTGATTCAAACTCACTTCGATACTAAAAGTCCATAACGTTTACCGGAAGAGTCCATTAGTCCATCTCTCCATCATATCACCAATGTTGACAATAAACGCCCTATACAATTACAGAGAGTCACCTGTTTTCAAATTGTTGTTCTGATCAACAAACCTCAAAAATCTAGAAGCTAAAAAGCAAGACTTACCCTCTAATTCCAGGGACATCTTCCCAAATTCGTGGCTGTTTCGATTTGTCTCTACAAACCTAAGAGTTTGCACACAGTGTAAGAACATAAGGTTACTAAAAGAGAAGAGCAGGACGAGAATTACAAGAGATATGAAGAAATAGTTATACCTGAAGTCCTGGAACTCCATCAGTCAAAAGAAGAGTGACCATTCCATAATCCGAGTGAGCTGAGGCACCATATGTTTCTACCTCCGACGAAATCACTTCACCTATAACCATAAGAAGGACAGAGATCTCAAAACCTGACTCAAATCACGGCTCAAGGTTCTTTGCTACGTTAAGATCTAACTCTTATTATCAATCCAACCAGAATTTGATGTACATAGAGGTACCTGGATAGCGTAAGAGGCGAACAACTGCTGTGGGATCATTCAAGGCTCCAACTTGTTCGAAGAAGTCCTCATCTAAATCCAATGCCAAGGCAATCAAGCCGAGCAACTTTCTACCCACGGACCTTAAAGCAAAATATGAAATACAACTAGCAAGTTGATCCAAGAAAGTAATACGGGAAGTTCAAAAAGAGAAAAAGACATATACTCGTGAAATAGCAGTCTCTTTTACAAATTTGGAAGTTGAATAGAAGATATTTTAAGAACACACATATACTTAAGAAAGATTGTACATTTGTATATCAAGAGCAGGTACTTACAGGACATTCTTATAGTAAGATTCCATGGTTTGCCTCCATGATGGCAAGAGATCTTCACATAAATACAATCCGTGAGAGATTGAGATCAAAACCGATTAACAAAACAAGTAGCAAGAAACTACCTTGAGAAGGCCACTGATTTGGGTAACGCTGAGCAAGATCGCCTTCCAAAGATCCAAAATAGAAGCTTTCCTTGGAATCACCTAAGGAAGATGGATCAAAAATACTCAGCAAGAAAAGAATTAACTGTATATGCAAAAAAAAAAAAAAAAGAGAAAACATCACCAAAAGGATAATAAACCTATGGAGCTCAAGGACGGGTCAAGTTTCTCGGCGTACAGTGGAGTATAGCCGAGCAAATCACAACGGAGTAAAGCCATTTTCTCCTCTAGAGGAAGATTAAAGAAGCCTTTGCTCTCCCTGAAAACTCCTTCCACTAACTCTTCCGAGATGCCATGGTCTTTGGCATAGAAGAATCCATGATCAAGACATGCCTTACAGAGACATAACAACAGCAAATAGTTTTATAAGCAATCATCATATATAGAGACAGGCATGGCTCGAACAAACACCGTCTCAATTTTGATATCCCCACAAAAATGAAACGACGCTAAGGGCTTCCTTCAAATCATAACGCAGACCAAAAAATTGCGATAACTCAAATCATAAACGCCCAAATAGAGCGATTACCCAACTGCGTTACTCTCATCCTCATAATCACTTACCTATCCGCGAGAAAAGCGAGTGAAAAGTGGAAAATTTTAAAGAATTCCTGGAAATCCTAATAACTAAAGGCAGAGTCTATACACTTGTAGAAGAACCAGAGTACGGATAAAGAGAGAGAGAGCGAGAGAGAGAGAGTGATGAAGAAGAACCTGACGAATCAATTGGGAGGTGGAGATTTTGTCCGGCGAAGAAATATCGACGATAGGAAGTAGAAGCAGCGACGTCCCCATTTTTAAATAATCTCCGTTTTTTTCGAAATTGATTTTGCTCTGATCGTTTTTTAGAGTAGACTGATATAATGGAGCGTCTCGGATCAGGCAAGTATGTACCCGTCCGTATATATCCGAACATTATTTTTGGGTATAGTAATAAAATTTTACCCGCTTGGAGCTATTCGAATTACAAAACTTTTGGGTAAACTCAGATATTTTGAAATCATGAAATCTTTTGGGTAAACTCAAATGATATCATGAAATCAAAGTTTATGTAGAATCCGAAAACTCAAATATTTTGAAATATGTCTTAATTAACTTAAAGAAAATCTCTGTTGACCAAAAAAAAAAAAATCTCATGTGTTTTTAGAATAAGTTATTTGACTGATACGCTGGTTGGTGAAGGCAAACACAAATTGACAAATCAACTTTTGTTTTTTTCCTCGATTAAAGACTGAAGATTTTAAAATGGCGCAAAAATCACCGCAGTGTGATGTGGTTTTAAAACAATCAAACTCAAAAAGTTTATAAAACGAAAATTAGGAGAGTTGTTAATCCTAGGGGGAGATGTTTCACTACAACAAGTTTCCAAGCACTCCACTAAGCAGTTCGGGTCTGTATTTAAAAACAAAGCCACCTGTTGTGATTGTGATAAACTTAGTCATTAGTATAAGGCATAGTTTGTATTCGAATTAAGAATTAAAGAAGTTAAGTCAGTTGAACTGATGCCGTATTTTAGCTCGGTTTAGGTGGCTTAATTGTTATCTTGATTTAATCCTGGTTATTGTAAATCTTTTGGTTTATAAAAAGAATATAGATTAGGGGTTAAGCATTCGATTCGTCACTACTTTGTAATCATTTTCTTTTACGAGTCTTTTCTGATCTGAGAGCTCGATCATCTTGATAATGGATTGCTGGCTGAGTCTGACCCCAGAGAGTAGTGTATCATCTCGATCACGAACTCTAGATAAATAATCTCTGTGTCGTTTCTTTCTTGTGCTTGTTTTAATTCTTGTTTCGAGTGTGTGAGCTGAGAGTAAGAATGATTCCCAAATCGGAGTTGGATCTAGGTGCAATAATTAGTATCAGAGCCTCGGTGGCTGATTCCGATGGCCTTGATGGCGACAACAACCGTGACTCGATAAGAGGTATCTTGTTTCGACGGGAGTGGTGATTTCTCGATGTGGAAGATCAGAATGATGGCGCACTTCGGGTGCGCAGGTCTCAAGGACGTGATAAGTTTCTCAAGATCGTAGCAGAGATGAGCAGCCTCAACGTTACTGTGTCAGATGAGATTCATGCAATCGTCTTCTTGAGCTCGTTACCCACGAGTTATGATCAGCTCAAGCATACTCTTAAGTATGGCAAAGAGTCGATCACCTTAGAGGAGATGATCTCGGCTGCAAGGTCCAAACAGCGAGAGTTGGGAGAAGCAGCGAGATTAGACAAGGCAGCTGCAACGGTTCTATACACTAGTGAGCGAGGGAGATCATCCAAGAAGGACTCTCATGAACACAGGGGTGGAAGAAGTCGCAGAAAGTCAAAAGGGAAGAGGGTCACTTGCTGGTATTGCAAGAAAGAGGGCCGTATCAAGAAGGACTGTTATGCTCGAAAGAGAAGAATGGAGAGCGACGACGAGGGTGAAGCAGCAGTAGCTATAGAATCAGTAGAGGCAGTGGCAGCTTCAGGGGGTGATGCTCAGGATAATTGGGTTACTGACTCAGGCTGCACTCACCACATGACGTCTAGGAGGGATTGGTTTGTGCATTTCAAGGAGAAAGGCAAGAGTAGGATCTTACTTAAAGATTTTCATACGGTGGAGACGCTTGGCACAGGAACCATTCGTCTCAACACTCATGGTGGATCAGTGAAGCTAATGCATAATTTCAGATATGTTCCAACACTCAGAAGGAATTTAATATCTACATGGACCCTCGACAAGTTGGGATTCACTCATTCAGGTGGAGATGGAAGAATCCGGTTTCACAAGAATGACAAGTTTGCTCTTCAGGGTGTGCTAAAGAACGGGTTGTACATCCTCGATAGGGAGATCATAACTGAAGAAGTCTGTCAAGCTGATGGATTGTGACCACAAGTCCCGCTTTGGCACAGCAGACTGGGGCATATGAGCTACACGAACATGCAAATATTGTTTAAAGAGGGAATACTGAAGAAGAAAGACGTTGGCAAAGAGATAATCTGCGAACACTGTGTCATGGACAAGTCAAAAAAGATAAGTTTTAGTACGGGTAAACATGATACTAACTTTGTTCTTGACTATGTTCATGCAGATGTTTGGGGCTCGCCGAATGTTGTGCCTTCTCTCTCTGGCAACCAATACTTTCTGTCTTTTATTGATGATCATTCTAGGATGGTTTGGATATGTTTGCTTAAGACTAAATATGAGACTTTTACTAAGTTTTGCGATTAGAAAAACCTTGTTGAGAATCAGGTAGATAAGAAATTGAAATGCCTTAGGACCGATAACGGTCTAGAATTTTGCAACCATGCGTTTGATGAGTTTTGCAGGAAACACGGAGTGTTACGACACAGAACTTGCGCCTACACCCCACAGCAGAACGGCGTTGTAGAGCGGATGAATCGAACGATCATGGAAAATGTCAGGTGTTTGCTCAGTGAATCAGGTCTAGAAGAGAGGTTCTGGGTCAAAGCAGCTACAACAGTTGTGTATATCATTAACCGGTCTCCGTCTTCTACTATTGGTTTCAAGGCTCCTAAAGAGGTCTGGTTAGGTAAGAAACCTGGGTACAAGCACATGAGGAAGTTTGGTTCTCTAGTCTACGTGCATCAGGACCAGAGAAAGTTAAAGCCAAAAGCAGTGAAAGGACTTTTTATCGGCTATCCTCTGGGCACCAAAGGGTACAAAGTTTGGCTAATGGAAGGAGAAAAGTGTATGATCAGTAGGAATGTAAAATTTGAGGAACATCTGGTGTACAGAGACGTGATATAGGAAACTAATCCTCCTAAAGGTGCGCCTGTCAGTAAGGCAGCTGAAACAGGGGAGATTGTCACAAGAGCTTCAGGTGTAGCAAAGTTTAAGGGAAAAGAGATAGTTTCACAAGCCTCAGTTGGAGCTTATCAGGAAGTGTCTTCTGACAGCAGTGATTCAGAAGAGTATGAGCCATATTTTGCATCCCCAATGCCGATCTCAGCAAGTACATCTCAGAGTATACCACAGAGCACACCTCAGAGTATACCACGAAGTACAAGTACTTTCAGAACTCCAAGCCCGCAAGTGCAAGCACAAGTGCCACCTGGTGTGGTGGAGCGCCCCAAGCGTGATCATGCGCTTCCACTTCGACTAAGAGACTGTGTCTTATGCGATGAAGATGATGAAGTAACTTTTGCGTTGATAATGTCGGAAACAATGTATATCGATGAGCCTGAAGACTTTAAAGACGCACAAGCAAGTGATGAGTGGGATAAATGGAATGCGGCAACCGACGAAGATGGATTCTCTATGGAAAAAAACAAGACGTGGTTCCTGGTCCGTCGACCCAAGGACAGAAAGATCAATAGTTGCAGATGGTTATTCAAAGTGAAGCCAGGGATCGAAGGAGTTGAATCTGATCGTTATAAGGTGAGGCTCATAGTGAGAGGATTCTCTCAGAAGGAGGGAATTGACTATCAGGATGTCTTCTCTCCAGTTGTGAAGCACGTGTCCATTCGAATGTTGCTCTCAATTGTAGTCAACAGAGATTTGGAGCTGGAGCAAATGGATGTCAAGACGGCTTATCTACATGGTGACCTGGACGAATATTTATACATGCAGCAGCCAGAAGGTTACGAAGATAAAACTAAGAAGGATTATGTATGTCTTCTCAAGAAATCATTGTACAGTTTGAAGTAATCTCCAAGGCAGTTGAATAAGAAGTTTCACGAGGTTATGGTGTCTCAGGGGTTCACTCAGAGTCCTCGAGATCATTGCGTGTATGTGAAAGAGGTTGCAAAACTTGAGTTCGTCTATCTTTTGTTGTACGTAGATGACATGCTGTTGGCAACAAAGAATATGTCAGACATCAAGAAGCTTAAGGAGCAGCTCAGTTCGAGTTTTGAGATGAAAGACTTAGGAGCAGCTCGAAGGATTCTTGGAATGGATATTCTCAGAGGCAGGGAAAAGGGAGTTTTGAGATTCGCACAGTCCGTTTATTTGCAGAAGGTCATCAAGAACTTCAGAATGATGGAGGCCAAAAGTGCTATAACTCTTATTGGTGCTCACTTCAAGCTATCATCTGTGAAGGATCATGACGAGATCATTGATACAGAAATGACTCCGTATGCATCAGCTGTGGGAAGCATCATGTATGCGATGGTAGGGTCAAGACCTGATCTTGCATATGCTATTGGTTTGGCCAGTCGCTATATGAGCAAGCCTGGACAGTTACATTGGGAAGCTGTTAAATGGCTTCTAAGGTACATCAAAGGCACGACAGATATGCAGTTGGAGTATAAGAAGGATAAGGACTTGTATGTGCAAGGTTGCTGCGATTCTGATTTTACAGCAGACTTAGACAAAAGGAGGTCAAGCACAGGCTATGTATTTACAGTTGGAGGTAATGCAGTGAGTTGGAAGTCGAGTCTTTAAAAGGTCGTTGCACTGTCAACGACAGAAGCTGAGTACATTGCACTGAACGAAGCTGTGAAGGAAGCCAGCTGGCTTAAGGGTTTACTCGAGGATTTTGGGTACAAGCAAGGAGCAGTTAAAGTTTGGTGTGACTCTCAGAGTGAGATTTGCTTGTCGAAGAACAATGTATTTCATGAGCGTACGAAACACATTGCGACAAAGTATCACTTTATTCGAGATGTCATCGAAGATGGTATCGTGGAGGTGCTGAAGATTCACACAAGTCAGAACCCAGCAGACATTTTGACGAAGGTGGTTCCGGTGAGCAAGTTTAAGTCAGCTTTGGACTTGCTCAGAGTCACTCAAGCTTGAGAAAGCTTGTGACGCCAGACGATGAGGTTCAGAAGGTGATTCCACTGGTATATCAAGGTTCGAGGTTTGAAGAGGTATGTGTCTAATGTCTAAGTATTATCTTAAGGTGGAGTATGTTGTGATTGTGATAAACTTAGTCATTAGTATAAGGCATACTTTGTATTCGAATTAAGGAGGTTAAGTCAGTTGAACCGACGCCGTATTTTAGCTCGGTTTAGGTGCTTAATTGTTATCCTTGTTTAACCCTGGTTATTGTAAATCCCTTGGTTTATGAAAGGGATATAGGTTAGGTGTTAAGCATTTTCGTCACTACTTTGTAATCATCTTCTTCGATGAGTCTTCTCTAATCTGAGAGCTCGATCATCTTGATAGTGGATTGCTGGCTGAGTCTGGCCCCAGAGAGTAGTGTATCATCTCGATCACGAACTCTGGATAAACAATCTCTGTGTCGTCTCTTTCTTGTGCTTGTTTTCATTCTTGTTTTGAGTGTGTGAGCTGAGAGTAAGAGTGATTCCCAAATCAGAGTTGGATCTAAGCGTAATACCATCTTCAAAGTAATTAAACCCAAACAACATTAAGATGATGATCAATGCAACAAAGACTAATTCAAATAATATATGCATTCGTACTGAATAACTTTCTTTTCCCATTGACAACACTCTATATATTGTTGATCTATAACCAAAGATAAGAGGTTTAAAATGAATATATTAATACATGAAATCAAATGAAAACTCTAAATTAAAAAGAGTTAAAATTCGTTTCTTGTGTTAGTTACCAGAGAGTAGTGTATCATGAATAGTGTATCATCTCGATCACGAACTCTGGATAAACAATCTCTGTGTCATCTCTTTCTTGTGCTTGTTTTTATTCTTATTTCGAGTGTGTGAGCTAAGAGTAAGAATGATTCCCAAATCAGAGTTGGATCTAGGCGCAATACCACCATTAAAATAATGAAATCCAAACAACATTAAAATGATGATCAGTGCAACAAAGACTAATTTAAATAATATATGCATTCGTACCGAGTAACACACATATTGTTGATCTATAACCAAAGATAAGAGATTTAAAATAAATATATTAATGCATGAAATCAAATGAAAACTCCAAATTAAAAGAATTAAAATTCGTTTCTCGTGTTGGTTACCGAAAAAGCCCATTAGTCCATCTCTCCATAAGGTCTCCGATGTTGACAACAAAAGCACTGTGGTGGTTTTACACAACGTCCCCATAAGTTTTCAAGGTTTAATTAGTACATAAGATTAGTGTCTATGCATGGTTTATATAACTTACCCTTTAATTACAGGAACATCTTCCCAAATGTTTGGTTCTTTATCTTTATCCCTACAAACCTTTTTAGTACGTAAACATTTGTTAAAATAATTAATGAAGAAAATTATCGGTTATGGTCAGACATTAGGGTTAATACTTGAAGCCCTGGAACTCCATCAGTTGCAAGAAGAGTTATCATTCCAAAATCAGAATGAGCAGAGGCTCCACATGATTCTTCTCCAGAAGGATTCAACTCTCCTGTAATGTAACAAAGATAGAGAGAGAGAGAGAGAGTAGTATAATGTAACTACTAATGGAACTTTTTAATAAATGTCTCTAACCAATCTTTTAATCATTTGCCATCAATATTTTGTGGATTCAAGACCTGTATAACGTAAGAGGCGAACAACTGGTGCTTGATCATTGAAACCTCCCACTCGTTCAAAGAAGTTCTCTTCTAAATCCAATGCCAATGCCACTAGGTGAAGCAATTTCTTGCCAGCATCACTAAGAAGCAACAAAGGCAAATTATACACAAAATCCAATATACAAGAACCAAAGAACAATGGACTAAACTCAGTACCACGAGGCCAAAACTGTAAGTATAAGCATAGCATGCGCATGTGTTCTTGCAACTTACATGACAGTTTTATAGTAGCATTCCATGGTCTGCCTCCAAAGCGGCAAAAGTTCTAACAAAAATTCATAATAAGACTAATCAAAAACATAAACGAAAGAAGTAATTAAGATCATCGAATAAGCTTTGTTTTTACCTTCAGAAGGCCACTTATTAGGGTAAAGTCGACGCAAATCTCCTTCTGAAGATCCAAAAGCGAACATCTCCTTGGAGTCACCTGTTACACACGAGAAGTAGAAAATCACACATATATGTTCTTTGGAAGGATGAAGCGATTTCGCGAGCCATATAATATAAAGAACCTTTGAAAGAGGTGGAAGACGATTCGAATGTCTCGTCGTATAAAGGTGAGTAACCTCGAAAATTACGGCAAGACATCATCATCTTGTCATTAAGAGGGAAAGAGAATAAGTTCTTGCTCTCCCTAAACACTCTTTCCATCAACTCTTCGGAAACGCCATGGTTCGTGCATGAGATAGAAGAATCCATGATCCAAACAAGCCTGGTGATATTGGAAGTTTTAATGATCATTCAACTTTTTTTTATCACCATAGAGTAAATAAAAGAAACAAGAAACAGGAAACAAACTCTCCATTTTGCTTTCTTTTTTTTCACAGTGAAAACAAAAATGTACAAGTAGAAGAAGAAATAACTTGACGACTCAATCGGGAAGTAGAGATCTTTTCCGGCGAAGAAAGATCGATGACCGGAAGTTTTAGGTCCGTAAGCATTGTCCCTCTTTTTTTTGCGCCGCTTCACCACTCAACAACAACAGTCATCGGCTCAACACCTTTGTTCTCTTATCCTTTTTCTGTTCTGTCTTTTTTTCATTACCGTTTCATTTCGTGGCAGAGAGAAAGAGAGAGATGTGACCAACAACACGTGCAGTTTAACATTATTTGCTAATGTAGAGGTGGGGTTCATCGAAGTCTCACGTTACAAATTAAGCCCATTTATTATGTAACGTAAGAAGGAGAGAACTCCAAAATATATGAAAGTGAAACAAAAAAGAAGAGACTTATTTAAGAAAATCTCGAGCTTCTTAGCCGGAAGTGGAATACGAGGTGAGGGATTGACTGAATCGCTCGTGAAAATAATCTCCGGTCCGGACCGGTGGAAACCTGAGGCAATTTTTTTTGACAAATAAAACTTTTTGGTTTTCCGAATAAAAGACCAAAAACTTTTAAATTGATGCACAATCAACCCTAGCGTCGTGATGGGTGGTTAAAAACAAATAATAAAAGTTTATAGGGTATATTACCTAGGAGGAGATGTTTCACTACAACAACTCTCCAAGCACTCGACAACGCAGTTCGGGTCTGGATCTAGAAATACAGCCACCTTCAAAGTAATTAAACAAAACAACATTAAAATGATGATAAGTGAAACAAAGACTACTAATTCAATCAAATGTACATCGTACCGAGTAACGTTCTTTTCCCACTGACAACACTCTATGCATTGTTGATCTTTAAAACCACACCAAAGATATATTAATGCATGAACTTAAACCAAATGAAACTCCATATTGAAAAAGAGTTAATAAAATTATTTTCTTGTGTTGGTACCGGAAAAGCCCATTAGTCCATCTCTCCATAAGGTCTCCGATGTTGACAACAAAAGCACTGTGGTGGTTTTACACAACGTCCTCATAAGTTTTCGAGGCTTAGTAGTTAGTACATAAGATTAGTGTTAATCAAAAGCGTTATGGTTTATATAACTTAGCTTACCCTTTGATTACAGGGACGTCTTCCCAAACGTTTGGTTCTTTATCTTTATCCCTACAAACCTTTTTAGTACGTAAACATTTGTTAGATGTTGAACAAGACAAAAGATGACAATTCTCAGTTTGAGAAACTATGAGAGAAGACAATACTTGAAGCCCTGGCACTCCATCAGTTGCAAGAAGAGTTATCATTCCGAAATCTGAATGAGCAGAGGCTCCACATGTTTCTTGTCCAGAGGAATTCAACTCTCCTGTAATGTAGCCAAGTGGGAATCTGAGAATACTGAAACTAATCTCTCAATCTGATGAGAGTAAATTCCAAAAATGCTACAAGATTTGATGATTAAAGACCTGAATAACGTAAGAGACGAACAACTGCTGCTTGATCATTGAACCCTCCCACTCGTTCAAAGAAGTTCTCCTCCAAATCCAATGCCAATGCCACTATGCCAAGCAATTTCCTGCCAACATCACTAAGAAGCAACAAAAGGCAATTAAACAAAAACCATAACAATCTAATATACAAGAACCAGAGAACAGTGTAAGTATCTACGGTGCTAGAGTGGTGATAAGCCATAGCGATCATACTATAGAAGAAGAGAGACACAAGAAGAAGCTAAAGAAAAACTAACTGATGATGTGGCAGTTGAAGAAGAGTAGAGAAGAGGCGTTGCATACTTGTATAGTACAGGAAACAGAGTCTATAAATAGAAACATTTCATTGCAGTAGAGGGTTATGCATTGTATTGAGTTGTCTGCCTATTCATCTATTTTAACAACGCGGTTTCACATTTCGACAGGATAATAAACTTGAGTCTACTTTCAACGGTAAGCATAAGCAGAGCATGTGTTCTTGCTACTTACATGACAGTTTTATAGTAGCATTCCATGGTCTGCCTCCAAAGCGGCAAAAGGTCTAACAAAACCCATAAAATCCATGAATCAACAAAAAAAAAAAAGAAGAAGAAGAAATAAGTATTATCCAGAAATATTTACCTTCAGAAGGCCACTTATTAGGGTAAAGTTGACCCAGATCTCCTTCTGAAGATCCAAAAGTGAACATCTCCTTGGAGTCACCTGTTACTAGAAGCTGGAATCACACTTGTTCATTCGAAGGATTTTCATGAGCTATATAAATATAAAGAACCTTTGGAGGTTGAGGAAGATGATACGCTTTTCTCGTCGTATAAAGGTGAGTAACCTCGAAAATCACGGCGAACCATCACCATCTTGTCATCAAGAGGAAGACAGAACAAGTTCTTGCTCTCCCTGAACACTCTTTCCATCAACTCTTCTGAAACGCCATGATTCGTGAGATAGAAGAATCCATGATCCAAACAAGCCTGGTGATATCGGAAATAAACAGTAAAACAAAACACAGGATCACTCTAAACCCACATTTCTTTAGTCAACTCAAACAAGCATTTTACTATTAGTGAATAATACAAGAAGAAGAAAAAAACCTGACGAATTAATTGGGAAGTAGAGAGCTTTTCAGGCAAAGATAGATCGATGATCGGAAGTTGAAGAACCGTTCCCATTATTTCCTATTTTTTCTTTTTTTTTTTGTGCAAGATCTTCCTATTTTTTCAATATCATTATTATGAACCAACCTCTCTCATCTTGGCCTGCGTCTTTCTTTCTATTATAATATGTCCCTGCACGACAATACGAGTTCGTGTTAATTATTTTTCCTTTACCTCTGGTTTTAGGCCCATTAAAATTAGACTCGCATCCAAGTCCATGTTTTCATCGTTTTTCTTTTTCGGCGTTTGTTTAGATCATATGTTTTCTGGTTTTAGGCCCATTAAAATGTGTGATTTTTGTGTTAAATAAAAAAAAAACCTATATATTATAAACATAAAAAGTTACGAAAACTGAAATAGATGAAAAAGTTAGCAATTTAGCATTTTGATTCTGGCGATGAAGTTTGGTAGATTCCGGTATGATTTGAAGAAGAGAGATGTGTAGCTCATAATGTGGGGTTGTATCTCTACGGCTAATGAATACGATTGTAAATACAGTTCTCAACCTAAAATGTACGTACAACTGAAAAGAGGGGAGAATCCATAACCGCCAAAAATCCCTAAAAATGGAATCAATGTGTGAAGATGTTGGTGTCTCATATTTCGTTGAATATGGTTTACAGATACTCTACTGATCTATTCACCTTTTTTTGGATTCTTGTCGATCTCTCAAGCAGCGACGAGACCATGTTTTATGAGTCGAGTCAACCTAGCTAGTCGTATGATTTCGAAGTCCGATGGCCATGTGCTTTGGGCAAACAAAGTGAGTGAGACTATCTTGGCGCAGTTGTCTCAGGTCAGAACATTGTACTTTGCATGTTTTATACGTATGCATTGAATGCTTTATCGTCTCTTAGAGGCCGGACAATGATTTGCATGTGGAAAGCTTGAAAAATGACTTTGAGACTCAACTTACGGAGATACTGTTGTTGTGTATTGATTCTCTAGAGAAGCCAAGTGTTTCGTCATTTTGGTTCCAACGAGGTTCTACTTCTGCCCATGTGTCGTGGACTCGTGGTCAGTTTGGTAGCTAGAAAACCACGAACAATACATGTTAAAAAGTTCCAAAAAACTCTCATCAGTCTAACATTGTTATTGCATATGACAAAATATATGAATACTTTGAGGTTTCACTTTTCAAAAGGAAATAGTAAACCTAAAAAACTAATTAACGTTACTAGTATATGAAGTTAGCAGCAACAATAAAAAAAAGTATTAATTGAAATCGATCCAGAAAAGCTAAACATACCGCCGACTCGTGTAAAACATAATATTGCTGACATCACCTTGTTTCCGTCAATACATTTGATAGATACCATTTTAATAGTCTTTTTTGTTCATTAGTCATGTGATTTAGCGGATTATGACATAAATACATTGTACGTATGATTTCAAATCAAACAATGTTTAGAAAAAGGAAAAGATCTTAGGACAGTGATTCCCTAATTAATGGAAAATACAATAAATGCAAGTGGACCATATATGTAATGATCATACATCTAATTTTGATGATTCCAAAGCCACATGAGGACATTGCCCAAACACAATTTCTCTTGGCTTTTTCCTTCATTGACAATTTAACATGGTCTCCACTCAACATCATTGGACATTTCACCTCTCCATAAATCTTTTTAAAGCTCAATCGACGATCATTTCATCATTTCACAGAATTACCTAAACTAATAACAAATTCAGTATTCCATTAATTTTGTATATCTAGTTAAGTTTTTCTCGTTTAATAATGTTACCACTAGCATTGTTTTCTATAAACTATGGATCGCATTTTTTCTTACATCCAATATTAATTGAATCCATGTATATAACTTTTTATTTACACTAGTGACTTTTTCCAGGATTTATACCTATTTAATTCTATCCGATTGATTAACTTTTTATATAATTCACGGATAAAAGATGTAAAAGAATTAGCTAATTTCACATATTTAATATTTTTTGTCTTGATTGCACATAGAATGGTTACGGTCCACTGTCTTTATATGTATGTATCAATGTTCAGAAAAAAATGTGCGTAGATATCTAGTATTTGTGAGCAATCAGTGCAAAAGTTTGTGGGGAACAACTTTCATCATTTTAAGCAAAAGACAGTTTGGCCACCTAAATTAATAATGATTTTAGCCTCCTTGATAATTATATATTTATACTAAGATCATTATACATGTCCGAGATTTGATTGCAAAATCTCGACTGATTATAGAATTGGTCGCACCACCTTATATAATCTACTCAAGTCAACAACAAATTTTGGTTTTACCAATACACAGGCATTGCAATCGATATATATATATAGTATCTGATTTTACTGGTATTTTATTGGGTAAATCGTACTCTCTGTTGATTATAGTTAGCTTTGAGTCAAAAAATAATTTCATCATTATAATACTAATTCAACATACAAATTAATGACAAAATAGCGTAGATTGTGATCTAAAATCCTATTTGAAACCAAAAAAAAAATTCATAATAGCTATTTTAATTATTAAAAAAAAGTCCAACCAACCAAGTTGCAACACATGCTTATTAGTGCAAATGCAAAAGAAAAAAAATATATATTCAAGCCAATGGTAGTATGTAAATCAAGCAAATGAAGGCATATAATAAAGTAAAGAGAAGATCCTATGAGTATCCATGACGAGGTTGCACGTGTGACACAGCTTTTAAGCAATAGATTAATAACGAGTGATTATCGATCTAATGAAGCAAATGATTATTGCCGTTTTTGATTTAGCGGTTAATCGCATGAGCCAGCTCAGCCGGTCACATGGTGGAGACACGTGGGACCAGTCCCCGAACCGAGCCATTCCCAAGCCACGCTTGTTTACTATTTTAATTTCGTATTTTTTTTGGAAATGCATGTGCGAAGGATTCTGTCATCCATCGTGACGATGGTGGTTCCTCTTTTCATTGGACGGCTATGAGTCTATTATTTTTAGTGACTATATAATTGACACACAATAAAAGGTACATTTGTTTAAAGTAAAGTAGAAGTTTATTTTTGGTTCATAAAAGTAAAAGTAAAAATTACGGCTTTAACTGGTAACCAATAAAAAAAAAATATGAATAAAAATGAAAAGAATGAAAGAAACAAAAAAAAAAAATGAATAGAAATGAAAAATATATAAGGAAGTAAATAAATATATTTTGTTTTTCTCCAATTTTAATAAGAAATACATTTATTCTATAATTCTTTATATGATAAGGAATAAGAAAAAATAATATGGAAATATTATTACTAACAAATGGTAAAATTTTTAAGAAATGAAGAGGAATTCATTATTTCCCCTCATTCCCTTAGTCACCAGTTGAAGCCTACATCTTATAACATGTACTAATTACTAAAGCATTGTAACAGTATCTGTAAATAAAAAAACGTAATATTGAAGAGCATTGCCATTTAATTATAATCCTTTTGTTTGTGTGTTTTGTCTGACGGTGGTGTAACAGTTATCACGGATTAGCCTGAATCGTGCCATATGTTATAATTTTTCCATAATTGTTGTGCTTGCTGCTATAACATCATTACGTTTGGTACCTCGTTGATATCGTACGATGTGTGTCTTAACTATTACGTGTTTCGCCACTTGTATCTTCATGTTGAAAGTATTCACTATAGATCAACAATACTAATGACCTAATGATAATGTCATCGAATTTTGGGAGAATTTTTTTTAACAGCTGAGGAGATGAAGGGCGTTATGGGGCAAAACGAGGACGACGCACGTGTGCTTCGCTGTCTTATGATTCTGAATCGAGTATGGAATTTCGAGCTCCACGTACCTTCCACGTGAAGCTGGTACGTAAATTGTAATGCTCGAACCAACTTGCCTTTAGTATTCGTTCTCATCCTGTCCTTTTTCACATCAATGTTCTTTTTTATTTCTTCTTATTGCATATGATTAAACGTTGTCTGTCTTTTTAATGGTGTCGTGGTTTGCGCATGTTATTGTAATAATAATATAATTGTCAGACCAATCTTGTAATGTACACCTTTTTAATCCGATCCTATGTATTATAAACACATCCATGCGCGTTAGTAATCAATGACTTAAGCCACAGTATTATGTATCGCCTTGATTAAATAAATAAGTAGTCTAGATATATCAAAGTTTTCCAGCGCAAGTCGTGGTGTCATATGAGATCTCTTATTTAATCGTCACAAAAGGGGATCATTTATTCACATTTATTATACATTGATATTTGATCATAGTGACCCTGTCGATGTACTTGTAAGTTCGTAAATCGTAACTGCCAGATTTTACCAGGCTCAGAACAAATGTAAACGATACACTCAATTTTCAATATATGTTTTCTCAATGAATTTTACTAAACATGGAGCAAATTTAAAATGCACATGTACGCATAAATTTAAATAGAAGAGTATAATCAAGGGCTAATTTGTTAGATCACCAAATGAATAGTCAAAGTTAGAAGAAAAAAAATAAGGTGATAAAATTGTAATCAAGTTTTGCATTTATTTTGCGCATGATTTAATATATAAAAAAAACCCCATGATATTAAGTAGAAAACAATATGTGTTATTATATAATTGCGCATATATGAGTTAACATATATGATATAACTTATACTATCCTTTTCATTTTGCAAATTTACTAACGAGATTTGTTTATTTAATCTCTAGTGTTATTATCCTATAAACATCATGAAATCAACGAACTTGCAATCAACCAAAACATATAAGCAAACTTATTTATCCAAAAAATAGTATGAAGATAATTTACCGGAGGACTGCTGAAATTAAAAGACAGCAAACTGCGTTGTCAAAAAAAATAATAACTTTTTGCAAATTATATTATTTATGTTTTTGGTATATATTCTATTTATTTTTTATTTGATAATTATTACAAAAACAATTCTATAACAGATAAAATCTACCGTTATATTAAAAATTTATGATTAACGATTCTACCTGAACTACTACATCACGCTTACCATTTTGTAAATATCTATGATAGATGATTTTGCCTGCACATCGGTAAAAAAACTCCTTGTAAACTTATCTTCATTATTTTGTATAATTGATAATGAACCGTACTTCATAAGAAATCCTTAACGAAACC